ATATTCTGTCCTCTAGTGCATGTAATGTGAAAATCAAATATTCAGGCAAAACATAATACGATAATACGATTAATATTATCGTTATGATTATTATATAATCACAATCATCACAACCATCTAAGCATGAATGCTCTACTGTGCATATTGTGAGGAATAGTTGTTCTTTTTGCATGTGACATGTGATCTTTGCGTTGTTGTTTTTTATCACAATATTCAGGGTAGCTAACATTTTTGTTGCTGTTATCTAGGAAAATATCACCCACAAGGAATCAGGAACTATTTCTAGAGAATTAACGGTCAATCAGAAGTTAACTTCTGATATAAAGCGACTTAAACAGGGTCAAAACTTAAACATGACCCGCATCTGTAAATTGAGTCGTTTGGTGTATCATTTACTTTGTAAACAACGAGAAGTGACTGAGCAGAACAAACAGTTGGGTTCACTATTAAAAATGCAAAGTCGTAGGTATGTTATTGCAGTGTTATCACTCATTATTTTTCTCCTAATTTCATTTATTATGATTATTGGTTGTTTTCAAGTTCGCTTCCATACAGTCGTGTTTTTCTACTGTTCTAATTCAAAATGAAAATTCGATTGGTTATGACACCAGAGATGTATATCATAATTGCCCGGATTATAGTCAGATACTGTTGTTCAGATTGTAACTTTAAAAACATTCTCCTTATCTCAACCTAAAAATTTGGATAAATTTGTGACTACTCGCCAGCATGCAGAAGTAAGGCAAGTTGTACGTGAGGATTAGAATGGCTTCTTTAGTTTATTAAAAGTCACAAATGAACTGTATTCTATATTCATTCAGTCGGTCACAACGTAGAACCTGGTACGTATGTACATCGATTTAAGTCGCCATATCACATCAACAGAGAAAGATGAAATTATCAGACCGAATTCCGTAGTAGTAGATATAGTAACAGTATCAGTGGTGATTGAGAAGATTAGGCATCAGAGGTACGACTCAAGAAAACATGAATCAGTGAAACAACAACAAAAGTCATGGAGAACTCGAAAGCTCAGAATTCGCAGAACGACAAAGAATGGATGTGCCTGTGTTTATGTGGAGCATATGTATTTGGTGCCTCCTTGTACCAATGTTTATGTGTTTAAATAAATAAATAAAACTACTCCTACACCACATAACATCGATCGTTAGGGTAGGTGGTTGTTCGGCACACGTAACACATCCGTGGCAGTAGTTGTATGTACATGGTCATGTGAGAGCATTTTAAGAGAGCTGAATCTCCCCACTCTCAGCCGTACCAGGGCACTTGGGGGCTTTTTGAATCTAACAAATATATGCTAGAAAATTTTACATTCTATCCCTGGATTAGCTTTTAGGAGAGGTGAATTATAACGAGTAGAATTTGTTTATATTCGTCTATCAAGGCAATCCATACATAAAAAATATTCCAAATGTCTAAATAGTGATTGATTTTCTCAAAGTAATGTTTTCAGCAATTATGTGTGATGCTGAATGATTTGCTATAGGGTTGAATCTTGCCAGAGACTGGAGGTACTCTCAAGTCCTAGAAGTTATGTAACTCAAATAATTGACTTTCTATTGATGGATTTTGCAAATTCAAAACTAGTTATGTTAGTCTCTACACATGTATCATTCATGTAAGGCACCATATTTTTTCCGTACCGTCTTTATGTCACTTAAAGGTAACTGACATACATTATAGACACTGAAACAGTTTCGTTTATTTCAAACGAGATTTTTTATTTTTGTTTTTACTACTATTATTTGTTGATGCTAATTTTCAGAATAAAACAGTTAGAAGCTGTTTGTGGGACAAATACAGTCAACAGTTCAGATGGATTAGAGTCAACATCGTCGTCGTCACCTTCATCGGTTGTTTGCACATCGTCTTCACCGAGCCACTGCAACCAGTTATCTTCATTTAATGAACAGAATATCTTAAAGTCTGGTAATAAAAGAGTTAAATCTAGTGATGTTCGTGTTTGTGATAATGAAATTCATCGTATGGTGCCGTCGAAAGTACTTTTTTTGTCAGAGATTGATTAAATTTGTTTCATCGAAATTGCTTCCTATTTCTTCTTTTAAAAAAGTTTGTTTCATTTACCTATTTAGGTAATAAAACTCAGTAAATGCGATTCACTTTATTTTATTTCATATCATTTTCTTTTCCAGGTAAATTAATTAGTTTCTTTTGTACATTATTTTATTTACCGGAATGTATATATGTTACTTACTTACAATATAGTTATCTTTATTGACGAATATTTTTTCGCTTGTGTACACTGTTATAAGATAAAGCCATATTCTGATTATACATCAAATTTACATCATTTTATGAAATAATTAGGAGTTGCCATTTATTCTGAGGAATTCGAGACCCATAGTGACGTTTAGTTACCCAACTTAAAGGTCTTTAGACGAATGTGAGGGTTGTACGATAATGTCGTATCCCAGTGGATTAACATTTAGCATGGTTTTATATTTATTGGCAGTCTGAAATGAATATTACGAAGAGGATCAGTTTGACTTAAATTAGTTTTAAATTATATAGTCCTGGGAAAATGTCCCCGATATAAGTGAAGAATGTTTCTACTGGTAAGACTCATGGGAGATGATTCCGTACAAATAACCATCAAAGGGTTGACGCTTTCTTAATAGCACTCCATTTTCTAAGATTGTTTCCATACGAAAATAATCGTAGAAACTGGAGTACGTTTCTGATTAGTCATAAGTCAAAGGAACAAAGGGTAAGGCGGACATATTTCACACTCAAATGTTATTCGCTTTTTTACTGATCAACTTTATTAGTATGCGCCCCTATTGGCGTAAACCTTTCCATATGAAGTCGATAAAAGGCTGCACCTAACAATCCATATTTATTTGTTGAAGGCAGTATTTTATGAGAATAGAAGGGTGTGCATGTTAACAGTGCGATGGATGTTTGTCAAAGGACTATGTTGTCCGAGATACTAGTTAACTATTTAATTCTCACAGGAAATAATGTAGATCTCAAAATAACTAACACGATTAATTCTTGTGCCAAAATCATTACCTTACCAATATTTAAGAAGATCGCGTTTTTATTCTGTCACTAATTGTTTCACTGACCCAATAATGTTTCAATCTTTGCTTTGCACTTTAACTAATAACTGATAGTCTACTTCTTACCGAATATTAACTTCACTTCACAATTAAAACGGAAAGTTTTCAAGGTTCACACGATACCTTTATTTTAGAAAGCTATGTAATAATCCCAAGTGTGGAAATTGATATTTACTAACCCCAAAAGCGTGTAGTACCTACTACTTAATTAATAATAGGCATTAAAATATATTCTGATATGATTAATCTGATGTGCATAATACACGGTTTTTCGATAAACAAAAGAAATTCTTTACAGGTAAATCCTAGATTTGTTAGTTTGGCTGTACTTGAAAACGCGCCAGTAACTTAATTTACCTAAATTTATTAGTTTTGTGGATTTTTACAACTTGAAGATGGTTTTCATCGTGAATTGACATTAGCTGAAGAATCATCGAACACTACGGAGAATGAGAAATAGTGTTTGGACGACTTATAATTTTATTTTACTACAACCCAGCTACTTGTATGGCTTAGTATTGTTGGACATCACTTCACTCGACAAGTCCCCAAATCAGAACATGATTGGATGGGAATAGGAATCACGGTAAAAACGCTAGTATGCTTATAGTTTTTACACGAGAAGATTCTAGTATTTTCAAAGCATCTTCTAGCGCTGGTTGGGTGAATAGCCAATGAGTGTGCCCTGACATAATCCTGCACGAAACGTTCTTTAATCCGATCTACATCCCGCTAGCACATTTGAGCGCACGAGATTGACGCCAAAGACCTTAGGGTCTCACAAGAGCATTTAGACCGTTATGTTTAGGGATTAAGTCTACCTGATATAAGGGCGATCATTAGTCACCGCAATCATTGAATTACTGCTTAAATATCGATCTGGTTTATTCCATTTGTCACAAATTCCTATTAGAATTCTCGAACCCAGTCACTAGTGGCTATTTCTGTGTCAGTCGCTATAAACAATACGGAAATTCGTTTAGTTCACTAGAAACATTCTTTTTTCGAATTCGCAAGAAAACTAGTATTGCAGCCTCAAAACAGTACAACGATGGTTTCGTTCTAAATATTACCCGACAATTTCGGAAAGTTATGCTGGTCGTTTATATAGGTAGCATTTAAATATGAATAAGTAACCATAACGAAGCAATATATAGAAGAATTCAAGTTCTATTCATGACAATTTGGATCATATTGTTAACTAAGATAATTTTTCATATCCTTTCAAGCAATTTCTTCGGTGAATTAGGACGCTGTTACTTAGTAGTCAATGCAAAAATGAATTACTACAAGAAAATTAACACAAATAGAGGGAATATATAATTTTTACATCGGGTATTGTATCTTATAGGCTTAGATAGCATATGTCATGGTGGAAAAGAAAATAAACTCGCGATAGTAAATTCACCATTAAACAATGAACCCTAATATTGTATATATATACCAGTTTTCATTTGTGATTGTATAGAATTTCACAAGTAATGCAGTGTGAAAAAATAAACAGTTACAAGAAATTAATCATTCGGATAACGATTTCAGCCGGTTATAAGACGATAAGTACATAACCAACTAAATAATACGAGCAGATTAGAAACGGTCATAGTTACAACAGCATGAATAAATTACAGCAATTAGTATAATCCGGTACAGATACAAGACTAGACAAAATGTTTGCTACAAATTTTGATTTATCCATGTACAAATTAACAAGGAGAAAACATGCAAATTCGATTAAATGAACAAATCTAAAAAGTGAAGTAATGGAGACTGAAATAATTTATGGTATTATGCGTATGTATATGTATACAGGTAATTGAACCGATTTAAAGTAAGGCAGATAGGCAAGAAGATATTGGCAATTAATGATGACCTAATGGAAACTTATGAAAGGATAACTCAATATGAAGCAGCAAAAGTAACACGGTAGTGATGAGGAAAATCAAGATCGTACACATAAATAGTCTCACAATCTGAGAGCGGAACTGATGAGATACCATTAACGTAAAAGTTATTATTATTACGTGGATGATAGTTTAATTTATTTGGTACCTTTACTAAACAGCGTTCAGGTGAAGTATTACAGTGTAATTTTGGAATGATAAGTCGACGAACAGAACCATTTTTAATAATTGCTACATGATCGCCCGGCCGATTGTTCAACTCCATGTCTACAACACGTAGTAAATCAAGACCTGTTTCTGCTGGGGATACACCAGTTGCTAATGCCATTGTAACATGAGCACGACAACCAGTTGGACGATTCACAGGCATTATACCAATATTATCTATCGGAAGAGAAGTATAAAAATGAAGAAATTTTAACAGTAACATAACAGTAGAAAAATATACAGATTAAAATAATCAAAATTACTCATACGTCGGAGTACAGAACTTATGGGATACAATTAAAAATCTACAACTGACTAAGTTAGATAGTATTAGGGTTGTGCTAAGTACACCTGCGGTTATCAAATATAAATTAATAATTGGTTAGTCTAGCCCAGATTGGTGCGACTTTACAGAACTCAACATAACCAGTTATAAGTCTAGAGTGAATATATTTGTAATGGTAATCAAATTAAAAACATATATCAATTCTCTGCGTATTGAATTTAGCTATTTCATCAATCGCTTCGCCAAGTTGTGTGTACATGATCTACTTGCCGATGATATAGAACTTGATGGGTAATTAGATTCATGGATCGTCAAGTTATCCATAAGACGCTTGGATTCTGGATACGACAGGTGTCAAAGCACCGAAAATGTTTTTGATAAAGGCATTTATAATGCATACTTTTACAAGTCAGCCAGGTAAATTGAAATTAAAACCTGAGAATATATGTGAATTGGTTCAGTTTGTCATATATCAGCACAGCGAGGTGAAATTATCAATATAAGCACCAGAGTTGAAGTAGTGACAAAATCGGATAGTAAGAAAAAATATGAATATACAATAAATTTGAGAGGTGAGAATGAATTCGTGGGATAAAAAAGATAATTCCGGAACTAACGACTTAGCGGAAAACATACGGTAAAGGCATCTATACCACTGTGACCGGTTTTGAGCGATGTCATACAATATCTTAAACAATCAGTTATGGAAGTCGAATGGGTCAAACCAGGTAGTGTGCACTTATTAATATTAGTTGAACTGCCAATTACTTCAAAGACTGAACCCAAGTTTCGGTCTGGCTTCTACTAGCTTCCAACCTGCTTCTACATCGGCCAACATGACGCATTGAGATAGGCGGTGGCTATGCATATGCAATATATGTCTCATTCAACTCAGGCAGTGAAAGCTTATTGCCTCATCAACCCCATTGTCACCTAGATTCTTTCACAAAACTAGAGATTACCTTATTTAACAGTTCTCTAACATCAAGTGTAACATCCGCCATGAACTTGTTCTCACTATGAAGACAAGTACGTGATAAATTTATCATCGATAGAATTCTATTCTTAAGGAATAATTTTTACTTTAAACTTCCCTATCGCCTTATGCCAAAAGTTCTGATCCCTAATTTGAGAGTTTCTGTAACAAAATGATTCTTTTTGTTACAACCATGAGCATACTTACGCCTGTTACTCCTCATGGAGGAGCATAGGCCGCTCACAAGCACTCTACATCCTATCCTGTCCTGCGCAATCCTTTCCAGTTGTTATTCATTTAACCATACAACCATGAGAGGTACATAGTATTCCGTGAGGGAGAAATAAGTCCCAATTGACCACTAATTTTACAGTTCTCAGCTAAGAAAAAGAGAAATCAAAGATTTCAAAGAGTTAAAGGCTTTGGAAAACCTAAGAAGCGGATAAAATGTTATTATCCTTAGATCTTATAAACATTCAAGCATAGATGTAAATTTAAAGCCGATGTCTCATCAGATAGTTAAACCTGAAAATAATCTCCAGCCTTACGAAAATCATAAATAGAAGTAATAAAAATAATGATATATTTGTAATATTCCGATGAGTAAGAAGTAAAATTCATGACTGAAGAAATAGATTAAACAAAGTCACGAAACTTCAGGAATTTTATTTTCTACTCATTGGGATATTACAAATATATCATTAGTTTAATTGTCAACAATCTATCCAATAGCTATTTTATCTGTAGTGTCAAGTTAAACATTGGTAGTTATACTTATGCATGTAAATGTTATAATCAAAAAGGATTTCTATGCTGTAAAGACTATTGCATCTGAACTTCCAGATATTTGCAGGTTTCCGAAGTATTCAAAATCCAATAATCCATCAACATCAATGTTATATGGCTCTTTGGAAAAATTCAGTTTAAGTCATCAGCATGGTGCCAAATAATTCCAGCGGGTGTTGTGAATGTTGTTCTACTGTTTTAAGTTTGCAAGAAAAAATCAACATCATTTTGATAGTGAAAGTCTACAAAAAAAGGAAAACACTAAATGCTCAACACATGAGAACTTAAGATGCGGAAACAAAAAAAAGGACACTCAGAACCTCGTAAAAAATATGACTGGGAAAACTTCCTTCAGCTGGTTGGCTCTATCATCGCCTGTTAAATTTAGCACTATAAAAAGACACCATTCAAATTATTGTAGAAGATTCACAACGCCGTTACTGTGGTTAGAAATTTATAAATTTTCAATGTACAGACTATTCAAACATTTCATGTAATAAGATAAAAAGAAGAGAGATTAATGTACAAACCTGGGAATACAACTTGTTGATCGTCGGCAGCCCAGAGATGTCGAATGACCTCATCATTTGGAAGTTTAACCCTAGCACCTATTGTACGTGGAGTGATCACTAAGCCGATAATTTGTACTGTGAATAATTTTCCCAGTAAATTTTCATTCACAGATCTACGTAGAGCATAATGTTCTGCACCGAAGGCTCGACCATATCCGGAAAATTTAGCTGTTACATGAGGAATACTAGGTGTGTTGCAAGTTTTCAAACCTGTCCCGAAGTCAGGTATTGTAGCGGATTCCCAATGAGTTATTACATCTTGTACAGTTGCATCTAATAAAGAAAATAATAAATGTGCAATTATTCAACTTCTGAAATACTCTGATTACTGTTAACATAAGTTCAAAATCCTCACATGAAAACTATAAAAAATTACATAGTACTAAAACACAATAAACAATATTGGAGAATAGTTAAGCGTGCAAAATATTACGACGATCCATCGTCAAAACAAATTTCTTAAGAGTGAAATTCCTCGGCGAAAATCTCTTAACAATAAAATACTGCCAACTAATGCCTAATTGTATGAGATACTTATATAACCCTTGGTAATTTTCTCTACAAGAAATGACCCCAAGTCAGTCAGTTACAACGCAGGATTAGGCACATATATGCATCGGTTCTAGTTCCCATACTTAATTACCACATCAAGATGAATGCCGGATTCATAGAAGTAGTTAATTCAATGACGACAATATATAAAAGAAAGATTGAGTATAAGTATATAATACAGGAAGAAAAAATTAGTTCGTAGGAAGAAAGACATAAAGCAATTCCAATCTCACGGTTTAAGTGCAGACAAAAAGTGTATACACCGACGCCACTATGATCGATTCTGAGCCATGTCACCCAGAGTCTTCAATCATTAGTTACGATAGTCGCGCGGACCCAAACCAAGTAGTCCGTATCTACCACCATGGCTCAGACAAGAAGTTGGTGACTTCAAGGACTGATGCCACGTTTTGGTTTGACAGCCTCTAATATTCTTCCAACCGTCCACAATAATCAGCATTGTGCGTCGTGGTAATCGGTATTCAGGCATACGTAACACGTGGCCCAACCATCTCAGTCGATGGAGATTCACAACCTCATCAACTGATTTACCATCGTTCCCTAATACCCTGCGTCTAATCTCACCATTACTTACCCGTTGATCCCAGTAGATGCGAGCAATATTTCTAAGACATCTGTGGTCAAATACTAGTAGCTTACGAGTATCTTCTACTCTTAATGACCACGTTTCGCAGCCATAAAGTAGGACAGAACGAACTGTCACACAGTATACTCGTCCCTTAATTGATAGACGGATATATCGCCTTCGCCATAGGTGACGTCAGTTGGCAAAACATAAACGCACTTTCTGAATTCGTGTTGAGATTTCGTCAGACACCAACCCATTAGGGCTGATCACACTTCCAAGATAAGTGAAGTCGTCATCTGCGTATTCTAAGTCGATAATTGGACCTCCTGGAAGGAGCTCAATACCCGAGAATTCAGCCGACGAGAACGTTATTTCCATCAGTAGGTCTATGATGAAGTTAAACAAAAATGGAGAAAGTGGACATCAATGCTACGAGATTTTAGAGTCCCAGCCAAGGACTTCTGCTGGCCGATTTGACATTGGGTGCGCCCGTCAAAGGCTCCAATGTGTAGTTTGGAGCGAAATTTCAGTAGACCTGGGACAGTGTTTTGCACACTAAAATGGTTAGCCATGACGATAATTGAGGAGGAAGCCAGAAGAGGAAGTTTAGAGTTGAAATTCGATATAAGATGAATGGAACGAAGTGAAGAGAGAGGTTGATTATGAATACAGAGGTCTTGAGTGGTGTTAGAAGTGAGGGTGGTTATCACATCCCGTTTGCCCACAACACGGAAGGGTTCTTCTGGAGGTACCTGGAAAGGGAATTGGACTAGAGGTGGTCTCAGTGACCTGAGCGCGTGACCGCTGTTCCAAAGGGACAACTACTTGAGGTCGGTCACACATGGCCTTTTTGTGAGTAATTTTCTTGTTAGCTCCGTACTTGTTGAGACATTACCGCCAGAGACGGATATCCGCAGGATAAGGCGAGGTGTGCATTTCTGGGGTCGAACTTTTCTAACTCCACCCCTCCTTGTGGGAAGGCAGCATCGCTGTCATGCTGGTTGTCTGAAGGAAGCACCTTACTACCGTCACATCTCTGTACAGTCAACAGTTTGACTTCACCCTCAGATCTTGGGTTTGCGCTGCTTTTAGTTTTACTGTTCTTCAACTGACCTGTCCGGCATAGTAGGACCTTGAGGAACGATTGTTCCAGCCAATGTGGCTCTACTGGTTCATAACGATGGGCAAGCCCGACCACCACGTCAAGGTAGCAACAACGACCCCAAAACAAATAGGAGGGAATGATGTAATTATGCCAAGTAGTTTAGAAAATGAATAAGTGAACAACTAACTCCTAATAAATATCGAGACCAATAATGAATACAGTTAATTAGTAAAATGAAAACACGAAGACAATTGTGGTATGTCCGTTTAATTTGTACTGGTCAATCGTTTGCAACGTAGAACGTAGACAAACGTGCTTCGGTCGAAGTAATCACACTATTAGCAAAAGATGATAAAATTTCTTCAAAACAAACTCTAGAGTAGTTGAAGTAGTAAAAGCATTAGTGGTAGCAGTGAAAAAGACTAGGTAAGGAAAAAAAGAATTCAGATATTTCACAACCCAGGTTCCAACGGAAGACAGAGTAAACGCACCTGTTCTATAGCGGACGATTTTGAGCCATAACACCCGAAGCCTCTAACGATTGGTTACGATTGTCACGCAAATCCGATGACTTCATGAACCGGTGCCATATCTAGTTTAACCTCCCCTAGCTTTCTTCCAACCTACTCTCACATTAGCCATTATCGCATTTCGAGGTAGTCATTATACTGGCATATGTAATACATGTCCTAACTATTCCAGTCAATTGACACGTCATACCTACCTAGTACTCTGAGTTCAACCTCAGAACTTCTAACCCGGTGGTCACAAAAATGATGAGAAATGCTACGAAGACATCTGTGATCGAATACTAGCAACCAATGAATATCCTCTATTCTTAATAACTGTTTTGCACCCATAAATAAAAAAGAGCAAAGTAATGTTCAGAAAACCCGTTGTTTGGTTAGTAGACGGATTTCTCGCCTACGCTACAAGTGACACAAGTTGGCGAACGTCTGAATCCGTGCTGAAATTTCTCCAGAAAAAAGCAAATCAGAATCATTGGAACTGCTAAGATAAGTGAAAGCAATCGACGCACTCGAATACACCACTCTGTCATTATATCAGGCGATAAAGTAGAATAATCGTGAAAAAATAATTCGCATTTGGAGGTCTGGAACCTCATCCTAAACATATTTTTATTGTTGCTTAACACGACCGGAGAATTGCATTTTTCCAGCATCACCAAACAGAACTGTACTGTCTGAGTAGTCTAAGTCAATATGTGAATCTTCTGGTAGATAAATAATAAAAGAATGAAGCTTGTAAAATAAAGCAAGGCATGTGAAGCATTCTTTGTTAAATGTGTAGGAGATATAACACATACAAAAATTATGAAGTCTAAGAAAAAGGAGTACCTTTAACTAAAATCATGATAAACACTTTAATAGTGACACTAAAAACAGAACCAACCTTGGGGCAGACCGAAAGCATTTATTAATTCATGATGTACTCCGGGTAATTCTATAATAGTATTAAGAGCATCCCATCCCCATTTAAGCAACCGATTCAATTCCATACATGGGTTTGAGTGAATAGAGCTTTTACGCCGTTTACCTGGTCTACTAACTATGTCTCGTGAAGTATCTGAGATGTCAAGTTTTGAATATGTTTCACTCGGTGGTGCCGACCAAAACCAACCATAATACAATGGATAGATATGTTCGAAATTCCGGACTTTAGCTTCAATGGTCTCTAAACTGACAAAATGTACATTACGCATAGTTAAAGTTTCCGCATCAAATCGCCATGGTGTTTGTGGGATGACCATGATTACAAAGTAGTGAAAACGACGAGCCATATCTGTGTAATAACGTGTTTCCCAATTTCTTGTGTTTGTGTTGTCAATAACTATTGGGCTGTACCCAGAACAAGCAGCATTATAAGCATTATTATGACACCACTCGTGAGCTTCACTCAATCGACTGGTGTCAAATTGGTACTCATAGCCGTTTGATTCTAAATAAAAGAAATCATCTGCAGAAAAGATCTGTAAAAAAAGATGTAAACATAAAGATGGGCATCAATTTACATACATGTAATTAGACACAGTAATAATAATGTACGTTGTCATGTTTTACAGAAACACAAGGGAAATTTCATGTAAATAATTCCGAATTCATTGGTCATAACTATCAAACCTGAATGCTAATTAGTTGCAATAAATATACCATAGCTCTTTCGAAATTTCTTCATCTGAACACTTTCATTTTTATTATCCTGAGGACGAAGGAGATATCCAAAACTAAGCAGTTCCGGTGACAAAATTATCACAAAGCAGACTGTCTCGACTAAACCTACAAAAAGATGTACTGATACAAAATTCCTCCACATCCCATTCGTATATCAACTGTAGACACCATGAATCTTGGACATTTTCCACTACGATTACATTGATGCAGATGACTTTTTGGCAAGTAGGAATAAAAGAAATCAAATGAATCCTGAGTGGTTTGAAAAACAATGGGATAAGTTCTTTGTTGACAAAATATAGATTGGATTACAGCATGTTCGATGCAGAATTGTGTTGGAGCACGCTGACTAGATATTTCTTAGCTAATCAGTACTAGAGGATAATTGGAGAGGATTCTAAAATCCTCTCGTGCAAAATTACAAGTGCAATAACCTGTTTTACAGTGAATTCTACTCCCGTCCAATTTTATAATTTAGAGCATAAGTTCGTTTCTGTTCAACTGTGTTCTGAATTGGGGACTAGTAGAATGAAGTACTGCCCGACTACCAACCAATAGGAGTAACAATTTCATATAAAGAGATTTTAACACAATTGAATGCAGTTTCAATGGTTTGGTGACACTACCTGAACAGAAAGCCACCTAACAAAGAAGCATAATCAATTAAACAACATAGAATCTAGCAAAAACTTGTATCCATTTAAAACAATCAGTAAAACATACACTTTCGATGAAAGTATACCCACCTTAGCCATGGGAAAACGAATTCGGATGCACTCCGACACAAAAGATTTCCCCGAACCAGGTGGTCCGCGTAATATAAACATGAACCGAGACTTAATAATCCAATGTCCCATCTCGTTATCCGTAAGAAAAGGAAATTTTACATACTCTTTTATTACTTTCGGACCTTGCAGCGAAGGAGATATAGACTTTAGCTGACCAGGAGTACTGTTATTTGATTTCTCTTTGTGCTTTGAAACTGATTCTTTATGAACAACACTTGTTACATGTTCATCACTGTCATTAATGTTTTCCACTGATATAGGTACGGCTTCATTTTCACATAAAAGTTTTACGTCTGAATCATGAATTGAAGCATCTAATGCGGAGGTTGAATAACATCTGTTAACATTTTGAGGACAGAGAAAATTACATATATTTCCCATACTGTTGATCACCAAACAGTAAGAAGAAGATAATGGATTTTTCTTGGGTAACAGATAACTTGGTAATTCAAACTGTACATATAAAGATCTAGCGTAAAAACTGGAAAGTTGCAGAATGTAAATATATATATATATATGGCTGAAAATAAATTTGTTAAAATTAATCAGAAAAGTGTATTAATTGAGTGCTTACAACAAAATAAATGTTCAATGAATAGTCCTGGTTCATAACGACAGACTTGGAATCAAGCAACTGAAGACTCCCAACTGTTAAAACATAAGAACATTGTATATCAATGTAATGATACACAATCATACATGAAGCGTAACAAACATTGAATCATGTGTAAAGCAACTGTGAGCTCTTCTATTAATGTTTACGACCATTTTGCAACCTCAATTGGTGTCGATCGATCACATATTCAAAATTTACCAGGTTCTAGAACACAGAAATTCTTATCGGCGCCAGAAAATGATAGTTCTTCATGATTTAAAAGCAGCATTTGACCCTGTGGCAGTGTCTGTCATTCAACAGTCTAACTCAGAAGTACATAAACCTTGTGAAGGCACTTTACTCGAACACTACTAGTCTAGTGAGAGCTTATGGCGAACGGTCATCTGATTTCGCAACCTCAAGTGGTGTTCGGTAAGGTTGTCCACTATCTCCGTTTCTGTTCAATTTCATCATAGACTTAATGCTGAAAACAATGCTCTCGTCGTACGAATTTTCAGGCATCGATGTCTCTCCAGAAGGTCCACATATCAACTCGTTTATCTTTTGCCAACTGACGTCACCTATGGCGAAGGCGAGATATCCGTCTATCAATTAAGGGACGAGTATACTGTGTGACAGTTCGTTCTGTCCTACTTTATGGCTGCGAAACGTGGTCATTAAGAGTAGAAGATACTCGTAAGCTACTAGTATTTGACCACAGATGTCTTAGAAATATTGCTCGCATCTACTGGGATCAACGGGTAAGTAATGGTGAGATTAGACGCAGGGTATTAGGGAACGATGGTAAATCAGTTGATGAGGTTGTGAATCTCCATCGACTGAGATGGTTGGGCCACGTGTTACGTATGCCTGAATACCGATTACCACGACGCACAATGCTGATTATTGTGGACGGTTGGAAGAATATTAGAGGCTGTCAAACCAAAACGTGGCATCAGTCCTTGAAGTCACCAACTTCTTGTCTGAGCCATGGTGGTAGATACGGACTACTTGGTTTGGGTCCGCGCGACTATCGTAACTAATGATTGAAGACTCTGGGTGACATGGCTCAGAATCGATCATAGTGGCGTCGGTGTATACACTTTTTGTCTGCACTTAAACCGTGAGATTGGAATTGCTTTATGTCTTTCTTCCTACGAACTAATTTTTTCTTCCTGTATTATATACTTATACTCAATCTTTCTTTTATATATTGTCGTCATTGAATTAACTACTTCTATGAATCCGGCATTCATCTTGATGTGGTAATTAAGTATGGGAACTAGAACCGATGCATATATGTGCCTAATCCTGCGTTGTAGTTGACTGACTTATGACCATTTGAAGAATAATTTTAACACAATCGTTATGATAAATGGTAAGGAGAGTATAATTTACCAAACATACAATTCGGACCCTAAATGTTCTGTACGGCTGAGAGCGTGGCAACCCCACTCTCATCGAAAAGCTCACATATAACTGTTTTTATTGCTAGAGTCAGGAAAGTCTTACTGATTTCTTTCTCACAACTGGAGCGCTGTTTACGAAAAGTCAATGTCAAGCGCTCTAATAGGGTTGGTGAGTACGGTGGAGTTGGAAAATTCTGAGTTCAAATCAAAGGTGCACATGAGATACGGACCCTGGGGGAAAAATGAGATATGAACTCACTTTTAGTAACCGGTAACAAGTGTACTGCATTTTTAAAAGTCGCTCTATTGCCTTGTGGGTTAGTGCTATGGACCAAACACTCGGGAAAATGCTCCCTTATGAAGTCACCCGTTTTTATTCGGGCACCGAGGAGTATCCTAGCCTACACACAAATTCAGCTATTTGTGTGGTGCATATAAATATTATGGAGCCCCATTGCATTAATGTTTAGATAAATAACGAGACTTAGTTTACATAAGACAATAGAGATTTATTTATATAGATCATATTCAATCCATGTACCAGACAATAAAAGCCAGTAATTATCCACTCTGGGTGTTAAGTGAGACTTTGTTACGAGAGTTTAGGACTTTTATAACATCTCAACATTCTTCACAACAACAAAATAACCATGACATCACAAACAAATCACTTTTGACGATAAGAAAATAAAGGAAACTAGCATTGGATAGTATGCCTCCACTACGGTACTTCGTAATGATGTTAACTTTGAAAAACGTCAACGTCAAGGCAATCACAGTGGATCTATGGATTGTGGTTGAACTAGTTCAATTATTCAGGGGATACTAAAATGATGAAAATACATGAATCATCAAAAATATGTGGCGTTTGACCAACAGCCCTGCAAAACTACCGGAAACACCTGAAAGCTTTTTCTAGCAATTTCCGCACCGATAAAATGATAGTTACCTGAATCTAATTGCCTAAGCAGAGGAACTAGTGACAAACGTATAAAACGTACTAGACTTTTAACAATTAGATCTTAGATTATAAGCCGGACTTAACCTACTTTCGTCAAGGAAGCCTGGTAATAAATCTACCCACCACGGTGTGGACTGAGGCACAGTACATACACCTGAACTTAATAGTGAGCCGAAATCCTAGATACTTTGATGAAACTCGAGACTAATTACTTTGCTTCCGTCATTAGGAAAACCAAACGCTTAATTTACTTCGGAAAATATTCAAGCACAAAAATTGATGCACTCGAAAACAGCAAAGTGAACCATTCAAGATTAAAATGAAAGTCTGGATACTTCAAGTAAACTAACTTGTATACATAGTTTTAGATATGTTAGTGACGCAAATGTAATCGGACTGGTAACTAACATATTCTTAGCACCATCAAGAGGTCTGCAAACTACGATCTAACTAAAAAATTACTATGTTTAACGATTGAGACACATAATTAGTAAGTCTGTAATTGGTAGCTGAAAAGAAAGTCACTAATCTTTAAATTAGAAACCTAGAATACACGCATTAGAGACTACAGGTAACACAAGGTACAAATAGGATGAACGTGAGGCTATTAAGCTGACTATTCACATTGTATCACTTTCACTAAATGTCTTGTTAAAGAGGACGTCGAAATCACCCCAGATAAGAGATATCTAAAGACGATTGTACCAAAAACATGAACACTTGCATTTCGGTCATCTTGTGAGGGTATTATCAAGGTGATAGAATAGACTTAAAGAACCATTCAGGATCTTGTACAGACATGATGAAATTAAGTGTTCATTTATCCACGTATATGTCACCTATATCCCAAATCTGCAAACTTCAGTAAAATTTTTGAGGTCCCAGGAAACATATATAAAAAAGAATAAGTAACAATAAGAAGCAGATTGGCAAACATGATAACTCGATGATTTCGTACAATTTGATTCAAATACTTGCAGTCGTAATATGTTTCCATGTTCGTTAGCAGCAGATCACTGATACTCCGAGTAAATACAGAGGCTCGTGAAGCAAGAAATGTATCTGTAGCTTAGCTTGACATATTGTCTTATATTTGTGGGAAGGACTCCAATGCAGTTAGTTGGGTTAATACAGCCAACTGCTAGTTGCGGTAATTACCTCAATCAGTAAAAGAACTTCAGTAAAACTATTATGGGAAAGTAGACTGCGTGACTAAAAACTAGTTTTATGAGTCCAATTACCCAGCAGAATCAGTGTTGCTATTGCAATACCTAAGGTGGATTAAGACGGCCTGAAGAACAAACCACAACTGTTTAGCTACTATTATGGTCATGATAAAAGCTGCAGTCGTTATTGAAACTTGTATTTGTCTTCATAAAGACAAACTTAGACCCTAACTTTAATTACTATGGCAGTCACACTAAATAGTAACCTGCAACTCTTCACATGACGGAGCAATACCAATCGTAGCAACCTAACCATATGTCCCGCAAGTTCTTAACAGGGAAATTTTTCAATGCAGAAAGTGCCAGCATTACTTGTCGGGATTTGTATTTAAAATATAAGAGGCAGTTTTGATTCACATTACGAATGTAGCATATTTCTTTTCTGAAACTACAATCAGCAATATGCTAATTACTTGTCCCGAGTAAAAACGTCACCAACTACGGCACTCACCACTAGAACTTTTTCACGAAAAAGTCCATTTTTCAGTACTCTTAAACAAAATTAGGTAGCTCTTCTATTTCAACACAAGGTTGCATGAGAAGTGTGATGTATTGTATCTGTATCTATACGTCTAGAAATTAAATTTGCGAGCACAGAATGTAACGTTTTTTATTTCAGCGACTTAAGCTGCTAGCCTTAGAGTGAGCGCTTCATATTTAAGTGACCTCAGGTCGATAGAAGGTTGTGGGCTGATTTAATTTAATTGTATGTGTGCCTTTACGGAGCTATATATACAATTCGTATCTGCCCACCCCGTCCTAATATCTGGCGAGCTAATAGTCCGGCAATCAGAAACTGTGCTATCTCGGCTGATTGGTCGGTCGACGCGGATGGATTGATCGAAGATGAATGGGATAATTTTAAGTCTACATTCGAGTCCCTAACGTCGCAGTTTATCCCATGGTCAGCACGTAAGCTATCACATTGGATTAATAAGGAAACCTGGAAGCTGTTAAAGCGTAGGAAACATTTCTGGGACTTATTCTTGTTGACAGGTCATGCCCCATGTAAGTGTGAGTACCAAACATTCCGTTATATCTGTAAGAAAACCATAGCCAAATCTCGTACCACTTACGAGCGATAGTTAGTATATGATAGCCGTACTTGTCCGCAACGATTGTTTTCGTATGTTAAACGGCGAATGAAACGTAGTGATGGTATTGCCCCGTTACTGTTACACGAAAATTCAGATTTACTAGCTGAATCAGATTAGGCAAAAGCTGAGACACTTTCAAACTATTTTAGCGAAGTCTACTCTACGTTTATTGTAAAAAATACTTGTCCCACTCACACCGAGATACCGACCATTGAGTTCTTACAGGTGACTGAGGAAACTGTCCTTCCGTTAATAACTAACATCAAACGTGGTAAGATACCGGGCCATGACGGGTTACATCCACGGTTGCTGTCATCTCTTGCGGACATTATTTCCAAACCGCTCGCGACGCTCTTCAACATGTCCCTTTCTCTCGCTCAACTCCCTTTGGAAGAGAAGGTTTAGGTCTAATTTGATTCTCTACTTTACACTACTCAAAAACCCTACTTATTCAACATATAATATAGTTCTTGCTAGAGATTCACATGAATACGAACTTCGAAACAAAGTACCTACGGTCAATGTTGAGAAATACAGATCAAAAACTCGGGAAAACTTCTTCCTCACCAAGTATGCCATAATATGGAACAGTCTTCCCTCCGAAACTCGCATGGCAGATGAACTACATACGTTTGTAAAACTGCTTGATCAAGCCCTCACTTGCACTGATCTAGCACGTACGAACACATCTGTGCCCCACTCAGACATCATAGGCTCTTTCCATGTTTAGACCAAAATGGACTTCGAGATCAGTTTGCCTTATTTTTCCTACTTTGCAGTTGTACTAGTTACTTTTTCCACCCTAATTTTTCACTTGAAGTAGACAGGTAACTCACTGAACCTATCGATACTGTTCAACCAAACTCGGTCGCTAATGGACACTCACTACCACTCTAAAAAGTCAAGAGGACCGCACAATCGATTGCCCACTACCAGAGGTCTTGCATCTATGGAGCCTGTTACCAATCAACTGGTTAGAACAACACAAAATAACATCAGCACCAAGCTACTGTGAGTTTCTACCTGTTTATCCTGTATTAACTCTTTAATCTTCTGCACACTATGTTAACTAGCAATTAATATTATTTCTCCACTCGTTACCTTATCTACAACTCACATACTCCTATACTTTTTCGCCTGCTTTAATAAACGACCATCCTACATTATACCCTTCCTAATGCTTATACTGATTGGCAAACTATACGTTATACTATAGTCAATTAAAGCACTGCATCGATGCCTTACCCACAGTCCATAGCTTGTAACTGCCTGATAAGCTTGTAAAATGGTACTAATAGAAATAGTGTTCTTCAACAAGTTGTGAAACACAGAGGATTGTGTGAGGTATGACATATATTCAAAAATAAGCTTAAATGAGCCTAACATCACAAAGGAGGGAGGGTGTAGTTACTGACCAGCAAGCAGTGATGGTGAGAGCGATAACTTCAATCCACCCGTGTTTGTGGGGACAGAACATTTTGTATGTATCAGGCTCTTTATGATTGAGAATAAGTCAATCAATCTGTGATATAGATTGTTTTCCTACGCTCACCACTCAGACTCACGTTTCCAATATTATGCTGGATTAGCTATTCTACTAAGACAACCTACAACATGCTAACTCGGACATTTACACTAGGATTGTGTGGCTGGCATCGGATAAACAAAAAAGGAAAAAAAAGTTAGACAACAAAAGATATAGTCATTAGCATTCTTAACACCTCACCCTCTATATACACACCCTTCTAATAAACCTCTTCCCTTGTACCAGCCTTGACTTCCTTTCCTTCATGTGAGCTTACTACAACTCGTTAAACGACACAACTCATTGTTCTTTATTACTACACTCTCTAATATGGAGCCTCTGACTTCATTTCACTCTAACAAGATAAAATATGAATTTATTCTGATTTATTATACCTCTGTCCTTTCTACTACACCATGTTAAGCAACGTTTGGCGTTCATATCCAAGTGCCTTTCTGCTCTTCTGTTTCTCTTTTTTTTCCTCAGAAATTTGCTCTGAGGGCACAGCTATGAAACTTCTGACGTCTGGAACAAACATGACGTACTTGTCTCCCCAAGATCACAGTTTACAGCAAGCGCCCCACGAGTATACTTTATAACAACTATAAACTTAATAAGTTGCGAAGCATTTTGTGAACCAACAAGTGTTGTAGTTTATAGGTCATGCCTGTAAAAATGGCGTGTACCTGCATATGCAGAAATATATATATTATTATTATTATAAAGACTTAGGAGTAGTAAGAAGTCATGATTTAAAAACAACTACGCATTGCAAAGCAGCCGCTGTCAAAGGTTTTCGTGCGTTATGGTCACTTCGCCGAGCTTTCAAGTCTTTTGACGAGGAAACGTTTCAAATTTTATATCCCATATATGTAAGACAACATTTAGAGTACTGTATCCAAGCAGCTAGCCCGTATCTGGTAAAGGATACTAACTCCCTTGAGCGTGTCCAGCATGTGGGAACGAAATTAGTGAAGGGTCTTTCTAGACTCCCTCACGATGAGCGTTTAAAACGCCTAAACCTTTTCCCCTTGTCGTATCGTAGGACACGAGGTGACCTTATACTGGCATTCCGTATCTTTAATTATGGTTTGAGTGTTGACACGTCTTGACTTTTTGCTCCCTTCAGCACCAATATTCTCCGAGGTCATAACAAGAAGATTCTTAAACCACGATCTAATAAACTTGAAGTGGGGTCCCGTTTTTCCCATCGAGTAGTCAATGATTGGAACGCCTTACCCAAACAAGTGGTATCAGCCCCATCAGTGAATATTTTCAAGGAGAAGCTGGACCTTCACTGGAAAGCAACGTGTCAGGATTAACACAGGTTCACCAAACTACTATCCTTATTACTGAAGACTGAAAACTCTAAATGACGTATCAATGTCTTTTGTCTGGCGTTCACCTAAAGAACGTAAAATCAACACATGCGGATAGGATACGGGCGAAATGAGCGACTGACTTTCTAGTTTAAATCAAAGATAATACTAACACCAATATATAAAATACCGATTTTTTTTCTATTTCTAAGCACAAGGTACTAGCACTGCAGGTCAGTCAAAATATTACTCACCGTGAAGATGCCACAGTATTCGGAGTTTGACAACGCTTCAACCAGTAACACCTTCCACTATGAATCGTACCCACCAAGTGAAATCAAAAGATAGAAGCGAGGAGGTTGGAAGATATATTTGATAGGCTATCAGTATATCGAGAATCGTCTGATCTAATCTGGCTAGCGATTGCAGTAGATGTATATATATGATCCGACATCAGCCTTTTAAATCTTAAGTGTAAATCGACGCAGTGAACTTTGGAGTTAAACAGTCTCAAATCAGTTTGCAGCGTAGGAACTACCGCTACTAATGAGCAGGCGCAAATGTCTTCCTCAACCATTTCGTATCATCTGTCCAGTTTTGTCGTTAATTTGCATATTAAAGAAATGGATCAAATAATTTAAAATAACATATTTATAGACTTCCAAAAGTAAACCTATAGTTAGTCATACTACTAAAACTTAGGATTTACGTGCTTTTGTTAGACACAAGAGGCTAGCACCAGATAAGCCTAAAATCGCTGGAGCTGAATTGGACTACCTGCTATGGCTGGGTATTATTCGTCCCCCTGATAGTCAGTGGGCATCTCGTTTGCACATGGTCCAAAAGAAAGTGAAGGCGATTGGAGGCTGTCAAGGGATTACAGGTCCCTCAATCATATAACTGTACCAGACAGGTACCTAATACCGCATATCCAAGATTTTAAAAACACTATACAGGGTATGAAAATATTTACTAAAATTGACTTGGTTAGGGCATCTCACAATATCCCAGTAGCTGAAAAAGATATCTCTAAGACAGCTATTACTCCACCTTTTAGATTGTTTGAGTTTGTACGCATGCCATTCGGCCAGAGGGACGCAGCCTAAACCCTTCAAAGATTGAAGCTATTAAAAGCGTAGAGATAAACTGCTTCAAGCACTTACGTTGATGTATCCGAATAACCTTTCCCCACTTGCTTTGATGGTGAATTCTTCGGACAGAGCAGCAGGCAGTGTAGTGAAGGAGAACACGGGTGACGACAACCAAATTGTATTTATCACAAATTACAGAATTACTTGGTAAAATAGAAAAAGCA